CCTCAGCCTCCAGGAAAACAAACCCCTCTGGACTCAAAACCATCACACTAAGAACTAGAACACTTAGGTGGAAACTCAAATCTCAGATGGACAGTCATCAGTCTGTGTTCTTTCTCGAACTGTTTACATGTAGACCGGCCTGAGGACCCAAAGAGGCATTGGTTCTGGGCTACAAACTTAAATTCTACACCCAAATTAGGTTTCAGCTGTGACTGTAAGCTGAGATGAGCCCATGCCAACAGCTGAGAGCAGGAAATGGTTGAGTAGGGAGACTTAGAGTCCTAGGGAACAGCAACAAACACCGCTCAACATCACAACCTTTCTTCTGGACACTGTTTACACCCAGACTTATTCCTTCCCAGGCTGCCTCAGTCCCTCCCTCTCAAGCCCCCAGGTCCACCCAGGGGCCAGGTAGGGGAAGGGCTTGTCATCCCCTTTGCTGTCAAGGCAGAAGTTCCCTGCCTTGGCATTTGCCCAAGGAGGTTTCCACCCCCCATCAAACCTCCACTGTTTCCCTTCTCCCTCCCTCCCAAAAGACCCCAACATCCTGAGGATAGAACATCTTTGAGGCTGTTCTACCTCTGTAGGCTCAAGTTCAAAGGTAGGGGTTTCTGGCCTATGCTGGGAAGTGCTTCCTGGATCTAGGAAAATGACCAATGATGGGACCTGAGAGGGCTATGGAATCATGCATCACAAACAAAATCATAAACAAGGGCAGGGAAACAACAGGATCTCTGGTGAGAGAGAGAAGGCTCTAGAGATTTTAGGAATGGAAGTCACACGGTCCCATTTTTACTTTTCATCTTCCCCTTTTTCAGTGATAGGCTGGAAAGTCGCCTCCCTTGGGAGAGATGGGGGCACATCAGCTTCCATTCTCTCAGACCACCCTTGTACCCTCCCACCAGCTCTTGCCCATCTGGAGTGTGGGATGGGAAGCAGAACTGGCCCAGGCAGCTCTTTCAGCCCCACCCACCAAATGCTTAGAATTACCTGGACAACTTGGTAAAAATACAGATTCTTTGGCTCTGTTCTGAGATTCTATTTAGGATGGTCTGGGATAGTGACTAATTCTGTATTTTTAACAAGTTCCCCAGGTGATTATGAAGTACAGCCAGTTTTGGAAAGTCTCATACATTATGATTGTTATCCATTTACCCTGCTGCAGATCTATGATATCTTCCTTTTTAGGAAACTTCAGAGATAAACTACCGCATTACCCAGAGTTCTGTAGAGGAAAAGAATGATAGACTATTAAGAGGATTTATTAGGTTGGCTTACCCCAAGTAGTCTGAGTAGTCCAACAATGGCTGTCTTCACAATTGAGAGGCTGTGAACTCAGTAAGTAGTTTAATCCATAAGGCTGGGTGCCTCAACAGTCCCAGCATGCTGATAGCCTGGAGGATTCCAGTAGAGTCACTAGTCTCCAGTCCACGGTGAAAGCACAAGAAGCTGGCACAAGCAAAAGAATGCAGCAGCAACAGAGTAGACGGTAACCAGGCTACATGAACGCACCAGAGAGACACAAAGGCAAAAAGCAAAAGCTTTTTCTCCCTGTGACCACCTCATATCTGAGCTGCCACTGGAAGGTGCTACCAACACTTCAGCTAATGAAATCAAGGAAATCTGGAGCCAGAGAGACGGCTCAGTGGGTAAAAGCACTTGTCCCACAAGCCTATCAACCTAAAGTCAATCCCAGAACCCACGTCAAAAAAAGCTGGATAAGAGCTGGAGAGATGGCTCAACAGTTAAGAGTACTGGCTATTCTTGCAGAAGAACTAGGTTTGAATTCCAGCACCCACATGGCAGCTAACAACCATCCATAACTCCAGTTCCAAGTGACCTGATGCCCTCTTCTGTCCTCCATGGGCACTGTACAACACAGATGCATTTACATACATGTAGGTATAATACTCATACTTAAAATAAGAATACATTTTTTTGAAAAAGAGAAAAAAAAAACCTGGATGTGGCTACATGCATCAGTAATTCTAGCATTCCTGGGGGGCAAAGACAAGATCTTGTCACAAGAACTGCCTCCCCAAAAGTTGGCCTCTGAGCTCCATATAAGTAAAAGTACAAAAATCCTCAACAAAATATTTAAAAACCAAATTCAGTAGCATGTTAAAATGATTGCATACTAGGACCAAGTAGAATTTCTTCTCAGAATGCAACAGTGATTAAACATAAAAAGTCAATTTGAGCCGGGCATGGTAGTGCACGCCTTTAATCCCAGCACTCGGAGGCAGAGGCAAGCAGATGTCTGTCAGTTCAAGGCCAGCCTGGTCTACATAGTGAGTTCCAGGCCAGCTGGGGCTACAGGGAGACCCTGTCTCAAAAGGCCAAAAAACAAATAAACTAAGTCAACTTACCACTCCACATTAACATAAGGGAAAAACCATATAAAAAAATTAACAAAATCCAATACCTTTTCAACTAGGACCAGGACTAGAAGGGAGCTTCCTCAACACGATAAAAGCCACATATGAGGAGTCCACAACAAGCATCATATTCAATGAAGAGAGACTGAAAAGCTTTCCCCTAAGATAAGGAACAAGACAAGGATGCCCATTTTCACTTCTGTTTAGCACAATAGTGAAAGTTCTGGTACAGCAATAGCAGGGGGAGAAAGAGAGAGACAGAGACAGAGAGAGAGAGAGAGAGAGAGAGAATATGAATATCCAAATTGGAAAGAAGTTAATTTGTCTCTATTCATAGATGGCATAATCTCTTATATAGGAAAACACACCCCACAAAACACCTGTTAAACTAATAAATTAATTCAGCAAAGGCTTCAGGATACAAACAGCCACACACAAAAATCAGTTGGACATATATGCACTAGAAATTAATAATGCCAAAAGTAATTTAAGAAAACAATTACATTCATAATAGCACCAAACAGAATACCTAAGAATAAATTGAACCAAGTAAGTGTAAAACTTGTATACTGAAAAACTACAAAATACTGCTGAAAGAAATTAAAGAATACCTAAATGAATGGAAGGATATCTCTTGTTAATGGATTGCAAGGTTTGGTATTACTAAGATGACAAATTCAGGGCTGGAAAGATGGCTCAGCAGTTAAGAGCACTATCTGTCCTTACAGAAGACCCAGGTTCAAATCCCAGCACCCACATGGCAGCTAACAACTGTCCCTAACTCCAGTTCCAGGGGATCCAATGGCCTCTTCTGTCCTCTGTGGGCATTGCAGGACACAGGTACACTTGCATACATGCAGGCAAAACACACATACACATAAAATAAAAATAATAAATAAAGTATTTTTAAAAGTTCATGATCCTAATTTAAAAAAAAAAAAGATGACCAATACATCCAAAGAGGTCCACAGTTTCAGTGCGGTCTCTATCAGAATCCTAATGGCATTCTTTCCCACAGCTAAAATTCATAAGAAATTTCAGGAAACATCAAATACCCATGCAATCTTCTAAAACAACAAAAATGGAAGATTCCCATTTCCTGGTTTCAAAACTTACTATGAAGTCACAGTAATCAGTACACTGTGCCCCTCACATAAGGATGGACATACAGACATCCTTATGACGATGGCTAATATTTATTTCAACATAACACGATCTAGAATGACCTGAGACAAAGTCTCTGTGAAGGAGTTTCTGATTAGGTTCACTGAGGAAGGAGCTAGTGAGCAGTACCATTTCCACGCTTTGGGGTCCTGGGCTGAGGAAAAAGGAACAAGGGGGCCGAGCACCCGCAGCATTTGCAGTTCTTCGCTTCCTGGCTGCAGACTCAACGTGCCCAGCCCCCTCAGCCTCTGCCACTGCATCTTCCCCGCCATGATGGGCTGTACCCTCAAACTTGGAGCCAAAATAAACCTTTCCTTCCTTAAGTTGTTTTCATCAGGTGTTTTGTCACAGAACCAAGAAAAGCAACTAACATACAGACCAATGCAAGAGAGAACCCAGGAACTAACTCACAAACATACGGCAGTTATTTTTCATTGGTTATTTTTATTATGGTCAGTTATTTTCAACAAGGGTACCAGAACCATTTAGTGAGGAAAAAAAAGTCTTTTCAGCAAAAGCAAAATATGCAAAAATAAATTGGATCCTTATCTTACACTGTACAGAAAAATAACTCAATATTTATAACTGGGCATGGTAGCACATGCCTTTAACCCCAGCACTTGGGAGGCAGAGGCAGGTGGATCTCTGTGAGTTCAAGGCCAGCCTGGTCTACATAGCAAGTTCCAGGCCATCTGGGAGACCCTGTCTCAAAAAAAAAAAAAAAAAAAAAAAAGGAAAAGAACTCAATATTTATAAATGACCCCAAGAACTAAAGTCATAACGTTCCTAAAACAATAGATAGGGGAAACCTTGCGCTTGGATCTAGTAAGGATTTCTTTTTTTTTCTCTCTCTTTTTTTTTCTTTTTTTTTTTTTTTCTGACAGGATCTCAGTGTGTTTCTGAAAGGCTGTCGTGAGATTGATATGTAGCCTAGACTGGCTGCGATCTTGCTAGTTGCCTCTGCTGGGATTACAGTGTGCCATCCTGCCCTTCTGCAAGAACAACTAGTGTTCTTAACTGCTGAACCATCTCTCCAGCCCTAGTAAAGATTTTTTTAAACATGGCACCAAATCACAGGTAATGGGGGAAGGGAAGGGAAGTAAGTTGGGCTTTACAGAACTTTTAAATTTTTGTGCACTACCAACAGTATGAAAAGGCAACTCATAGAATGGGAGGAAATATTTGCAAATCACATGTCTGATTAGGGTCCATTTCAGGGCTACATAAAGAACTCTTAATTTTTAATTCGGTAATTGGTTGTGGGAAGAGAAGAGAGGAAGTGCACAGAGCCTGGAGAGCAGTGAGGAAACAATGAAAATGTTTCAAGGCAGTGGCTGGAAATACCAGAGCACTGAGGAGATAGGCTCCGGCAGCCAGGGACTTGACGATGTGTAGCTGAACGCAGAGCCGGCTTTCAGGAAAAGAAGAGGAAGTGAAAGTGTCTGACCGCATAAATAGGCAGCAGGCAGGTCCCAGCCCACACACGGACCCCAACCTGCGGCTGTCCATCTCGCCCACAGCTCTGGCCTCCGCCTCATCCTCAAACAACCATGGCTCAGGTGCTAGCTCTGAGCCTCCTTATCATGGTCCTGGCTCTCTGCATCCCCTGGACCCGAGGTACCAAGGAGGGAGGAGCTTTAGCTGGGAGAAGAGGGCTGGAGAGACCTGGATAGGACCTTATAAGCAGTATGGCTCCATGAACCCCACTTTGCAGGCAGTGATGGCGGAGCTCAGGACTGCTGCCTCAAGTACAGCCAAAGGAAGATTCCCTACACTGTGGTCCGAAGCTACCGGAAGCAAGAACCAACCTTAGGCTGCCCCATCCCGGCAATCCTGTAAGTGAGCAAGAAGGTGGAAACAGACTGGAGGTAGAGCTGGGGAGGTATGGTGGACCAAAGAAGGCTAACTTATCCTCTAACACCCAGGTTCTCACCCCGGAAGCGCACTCAGCCAGAGCTTTGTGCTGACCCCAAGGAGGGCTGGGTGCAGAAGCTGATGCAACGCCTGGACAAGCCTCCAGCCCCGGGGACACAAACCCAGGGCTGTAGGAAGAACAGAGGAGCTCCTAAGTCTGGAAAGAAGGGAAAGGGCTCCAAAGGTTGCAAGAGGTGAGGGACTAAAGGGATGGGGGCGGGGAGCGAAGGGGCGCCTTCGTCAAGGGGAGCCTCAGTCACCCTCTCACACCCCTTCTCTGCCCTCCCAGGACTGAACAGACCCAAACCCCAAAAGGGCCATAGCCCAGTGACCGACCTGGAGCCTAGGAGGTCCCGACTGAACTTCACCATGGCTTTGAGCCCCAACACGAGGACCAGAAAGGGGCTAAAAGGCAGGAAGGACATAGGGGCCCCAGAGCGGCCACTTCAGGCTGGCCTTGTCACAACCTTCTGCTTCAACCATCCTGACCGCACTGCCGTCCTTTTCTTGCATGGCTGAGCTGCCTTCCCTTGGCCAGGCCCAGAGAGGCAGAAGAATGAGCGTCTCTCAGGAAATGGGAGAGGAGACAGCAGGACTGTCCCTCTAGGAGGTCTCTCAGGTCCAAGCCCTGACCTTGCTCCCCTGCACCCTACCCTTTCCTTGCAAATGTGATTTATACCTAACGGAATAAAAAACTGTCCCAGCCTCAACCCAAATACCTGTTCCTGGGTGTTTGTGTTCACAGAGAAGTCAGTGTTATTACAGAGTGCAATCAGATACTCTAGGGTCCCAGCCAAGAGCTCAGAATGGTGAACTCCACATTCCACAGTTTCCTTGTCTCCCAGGTACCCAGACCCTTGGGCAGTTAAAGGGACTCTCCTGAACAGGATGGGCCCAGGTCTCGGATGAAACTGCCAGTGGGAGGACCATAGACCCAGGGCATGAGTGGGAACACACACTCTCTTACTCTAAGAACGGCCTCAGATCTTTCCCCAGATCTACTAGGGGCTGCCTCCCCTTTCCTTGGGACTTACTAAATGAGAACCTCCAGGTACCTCCAGAGCAATGCCATTGGGACCACAACAAAACCACAAGTTCTATGAAACCAACTGTAGACACAGTCCCAGCTCTGTGAGCCCTCATCCCCTTCCAAAGACCCAGAGGACTCTCTTCTGGACTGTCCAATACAGTGCCAATCCCAGCTTCTCCCTTTGTTTAATGGTGCTGTTGTGACCTCTCCCCATTCCCATCAGGGTTCCTTGAGTGCCTCATCTTCCTTAAAGTTAGGAAAGTCTCCTCCCCTTTTCTTTTCCTCCTTCTTACCTGGCTGGGATCTGTGGCTCTTGAGGTCCTCTGACTTCTTTTCTTTTTTTTTTTAATTTTGTATATGTTGTGGTGTGTGTGTGTGTGTGTGTGTGTGTGTGTGTGTGTGTGTGTGGTGTGTATATGTGTGGGGGGGGTGGAGGGGGAGCACATGGGTGCAGAAACATGTGGAGGCTGGAGGAGGATGTCAGGTGTCTTCTATAGTTCTCCACCTTATTTTTTTGAGATAAGGACTATCACTTGAGCCTGAAGCTTGCCACTTCTGCTAGGCTGGGGGCCAGCAAGCTCCAGCGTGTCTCCACCCTGCAACACTGGGATTACAGGCACACACAGTCATGCCCAGCTTTTACATGAGTGCTGGGGATTTGAACCCAGGTCCTCTTGTTTTCACAGCAAATGCTCTTACCCACTGAGCCATATTCTCAACCCTCTCCTCTAGTTTCTTGACTCCTGGGACAAGTCTTTAGACACACAGGATTCAGATATAAATCCATCTCCCCTACAAGAAGATTCCACAGGCCCTCCTCTACCTTTTCCTCCTCAGAGCAAAGCCCCTCTTCCCCACCCCCTGCCTCCAGGCAGGCACAAACAGCACTGGGGAGGCCTGGCAATGTGAGAAAGGGAAGGGATAGATCCTGGGGGAAGGATGAGGAAGACAAGGACCTAGGAAGAGAGTGCTGGCTGCACCACCACGCCTTCCGCAGAGCCTGAGCAGGCCACAGCATCAACCACTTGTCATGAAATCATGACATAGTCTGCTCCTCGCTTCTCTTGGGTGAAGACAAGAACTCCTGTCTATCCTTGTACAACCAGAGCTGATCTTAGCCAACAAACAGATGTGCATGACATACTGCATAACAAAACATCCATTTAATGAGCTTAATTCCCATTCACCCCTGCCTATATTAGAATGCTGCTAAAAAAATTTTTTTAAAAACTTGACATCAGGTGCTCCTAGAGAATCCCATCAACCAAAGGCTGTATAGAGGTCAAAGAAACACTGAGTCCCAGGAGAGGCTTCCTGCCTGCCCCCTGCCCCCTGCCCCACAATCATCCCATCTTTGGACACTGTCAGAGAAAACTGACCCTTGTGGTCCCAGAGTGTATGTCTCTTCAGGTCTGTGCCAAATTTGAGACATGGGAATTCTGACATGAGCGCCACTGAGCTTGGATCTGACTCCCTTGCCACACCACCAAAGCCAGCTGCTGAGAATCCCTAGCAGCCAGGAATTACAGCCCAGTGCCCACAAGGTCTGAACCTGTAAGCCCACCTCTCAGCAGTCTTAAAGAAGTCTTTCTCTTTCCCGAGTCCCTCCAGCATATTTAACCTCTTTCCAGGTTTACTTTAGAGTCCAGAGTCAGACTTTTACAAAAAGCAAAAGGGCCATTAACATCCAGATGCCTCTTCTCTCATCCCTGCCAAAACCCTTGCCTGTTCTAAAATGAAAGGAAAAATAGGCAGGACAAACAATACCTAGCCAGACTGGTAGTGCAGGACTATAATCCCAGCTACTTGGGTGCTGAGGCAGGAGAACTGCAAATTCAAAGGCTTCCTGGACTACACAATAAGTTCAAGCTTAGCCTAAGAAACTGTCTCAAATTTTTTTTAAAAAAACTTAATGCTGAGTGTAGTGTTGCATACACTTGAGAGGCAAAGGTAGGTGGATCTCTGTGAGTTCTAGACCAGACGCTGTCTCAAAAAAGAAAAATGATTTAAGTACAAAAAGGCCTGGGGATATAGGTAAGTGAAGAGTGCTTATCTAGCATGTGTGGGACACTAGGTTCAGTACCCAGTACAGAAAGCAAGAGAGAGAGAGAGAGAGAGAGAGAGAGAGAGAGAGAGAGATTTGATACTTCACTAATTGTTCTGCCATTCTTGCATGACTGGTATTTGCCTCAAGCCCTGATCTCAGTAGACATGGCAATAAAGTATTTTTTCATCAGGGCTGAGTGGTCGCTTTCTTTGTCTGTCTCCCTCTTTAACTATGTTGTCCTTTTCTTTTTTCTTCCTGTAAAATACATAATTTTTGTGAATCACATACACATACTCTTGGCTTTAAAAGGTATCAAAGCCGGGTGTGGTGGAGCATGCCTGTAGTCTCAGCACTTGGGAGGCAGAGGCAGGCGGATCTCTGTGAGTTCAAAGCCAGCCTGGTCTACATAGTGAATTCCAGGACAGCTGGGGCTACAGGGAGACCATGTCTCAAAAAGACCAAAAAAACAAAAAATTTTTTAAAAAGGTATCAAAAAGTACCAGAATCTTATTGTTTGTTTTTTATTTTTATTTTTCTATTTTTTAAAGGGGTTCTTTTATTTTGTTTTTGTTTCCATTGCTTGGGGGTCATTTGTGTGCTTGTGTTTGTTTGTTCTTTTGAGACAGGGTCTCCCTATACCCCCAACTGCCCTGGAACTCACTGTACAGACCACACTGGCCTTGATCTCACAGAGATCCACATGCCTCTGCCTCCTCAGAGCTGGGATTAAAGGTGTGCACCACTATGCCCACATTCAGAATCTTATTCTGAACAACACCATTTCTTACAACTTTAACTCTTATGCTATTCCTTCTGGGAGCCAACGCCACATGTCCAAATACCGTTCTTATAACTATTTCCTGATTCATCCATTTTTAGTGTTACCAATTGACTTCTATAAAAAGCGAAAATTTAGATCTCTTACCAACTCTCCTGTAACTTCATGCTCTAAATATAACTACCATAATCCATATATGTAGATCATGATCAATTTATATTATCATGGTTATGTAAATATTGTTCATTGCAGAACAAAGAGTGAAAGCTGCTTACTTCTCTGTCACTCAGCTTTTTTTTTTTTCTTGGCTGTACTGGGGATTGAACCCAGAGCCTTATACATGCTATACAAGTGCTCTACCACTGAGCTACAGCCCCAGCCTAGTTTTTTGTTTTTAATTTCTTTTTAAAAATATCTTTCCTGTTTTTATTATTTTTTTACTTTCTAAATTTTTATTTATTTTTGGCCAGGCATGGTGGCACACGCCTTTAGTCCCATCACTCAGGAGGCAGAGGCAGGCAGATCTTTGTGAGTTCAAGGCCAGCCTGGTTTACATAGTGAGTTCCAGGCCAGCTGGAGCTACAGGAAGAGCCTGTCTTAAAAAGACCAAATAAAAAATTTATTTTTATTTTGTGTATGTGAATGTTTTGCCTGCATGTATGTAAGTGCACCACTTGCTTGCAGTGCCTACAGAGGTCAGAAGAGGGCATTGGATGGTTATTAGCAGCCATGTGATGCTGGGAACCAAACCTGGGTTCTCTGCAAGAGCAGCTAGTGCTCTTAACTACCGAGCCATCTCTCCAGTCTGCCTTTTTGTTTTTAATTATGTGTACACATGTGTTTGTGTAGGTTTGTGCACATGCATGCAGTGTCTGAGGAAGCCAGAAAACGGCATCGGACTCCCTGGGCTGGGAACCAAACTCAGGTCTTCTGCAAGACCAGCCGGTTCTCTTAACCACTGAAGTATCTCTCCAAGCTCTTCTTATAGGATCTAATGATCTCTCTCTTCTCTTCTCTTCTCTTCTCTTCTCTTCTCTTCTCTTCTCTTCTCTTCTCTTCTCTTCTCTTCTCCTCTCTCCCTCCTCTTCCTCTCTTCCCCCCCCCACTGCTCTCTCTCTCTCTCTCTCTCTCTCTCTCTCTCTCTCTCTCAATCTGATCTTCCTGTAGCCCCAGCTGCCCAAGAACTTGCTATGTAGACCAGACTGAGCTCCATATCAGAGATCTACCTGCCTCTGCCTCCCAAGTGCTGGTACTAAATGTGTGCATCACTAGGCCCAACCGATATATCTCTTTAAAAAAATATCACAGTCTTGACTTTTTCACAGCTTTTCAAATGCTTCATTAAACAGGGTGAATAAAGACTTAACATTTAAGTATATATACCATATGAAGGAAAATGAATTCATATCTGGATGTAAAATATAAATAAAGTATAGTATAGACGTATGGAATATATATATACATATAAAAAATAATGCCAGGCATAGTGGTGCACACCTGTAATCCCAGCACTTGGGAGGGTAGAAACAAGCAAATCTCTGTGAGTTTGAGGACAGCCTGGTCTACAAATTGAATTCAAGACCATCCAGGGCTCTATAGAGGAAACCATCTAAAAAAAAAAAATCCTAAGTGAAAAGATCAACATCATTAAATTCATAGATGAGTGAGTGTTCAGGGTAAAGATGACAAGCTGAGTCATGCCTTTATTTTCCCTTCTTCCTAAGTCCCCACTGAAACTACAGCACAGTGAATATTTTTGGTGTTTAAATATCTGTAAAGGTATAAACAGCTATGGACCCAAATGAAAGAAGACATAAAGATCAGAGAGATGGGACAGAAGTGAAGGGCATTTGCTGTTCTT